GTGCGGGTGGCGGGGTCGTAGACGAAGAAGGGCTCGTCGATGGTGGTCGAGCGGACGAGCGGCTCGACGGCGCCGTCGACGTCGCAGGTGAGATCCGCGACCGCAAGCAGGCGCTTGTTGCCTGAGGCGCGCAGGCTCTGCAGCTGGTCCGTCGAGAGGAGGCGCGGGAAGCGGCGGTCCCAGTACATGGTCGGCACGAGCAGGCTGACGTGCGGCGCGATGGTCTCGTGGAAGCACGGCACGTACTCCTCGGGGTTTGCCTACGGGGCAGCTCCGCGACACTGCACGCCGCCCGAGGGAGCCGGCCCGCACGCAGGTCGGGCTCGCGTAATACTCGGCGCGGTCGAAGGCGGCGCCGGGCCGGGCGGGGCGGACGAAGTCCTGCGCGCCAGTGACGCAGACGTACACCTTGTGCTGGTGCTCGCCGGCCGTCCCCGCCAGCGCCGAGAGGCGGGCCAGCTCCGACGGAGCCACCCTCTCCACGACCTCGCCGAGCGAGTCGAGCGCGTCGAGTGCCCCGCGAGAGACGTTGCCTGTGCCGGCGACGCAGACGACGAGCGGGGAGTACTCCGCGGGCAGGCCGGCGCGAGCTACCTGCTCGCCCGCCGCGCGCAGCGCCCGCCGCGCGTCCGTGGAGTAGTCTGTGTACGCGTGCGTCGGGCCGATGGAGAGAAACGGAGTCGAGTGGCCAAGCGAGAGGAGGCGGAGGCCGAGCCCGCGCAGGCCGTTGACCATGCCCGACATGCCGGCGAACTCGCCAAAGGCAACCAGCCGAGGCGTCGTCCCGCCTCCGCCCTCGCGGATGCACTCGTAGTCGATGAGCCGCACCTTCTTCTCGAGGACCTCGTCAAGAAGCGGCATGTTCTCGGGCTGGGCCTTGATGACGTGGCTGAAGAAGAGGTAGTTCTTCCCGGGGAGGAGCGAGCCGTTGAGCGGCTGCTTGACGCCCATGATGGTGTTGGCGCCCGAAAGGTCACGCGTGATGGTCGCGCCTGCCGCCGCAAACTCGCGATCGGTGAAAACGCGCTTCGACGACGGCTGCACGAGCACCTCGACGCCCGAGTTGACGAGCCGCGAGACGTGGGAGGGAGTCAGCGGAGCGCGACGCTCCCACTTGGAGTACGCCTCGGCGAGGACGCCGAGGGAACGCCGCATGGTTTGAAGCGGAACAGGAAGGTTGCAATCGCTCGGGAATTCCGACGCAGAACACACACTGCAAGAAACCCCACTGGCGCTTCTTGTATCTAGCTCCCCGGTCCTAGGACGAGGCAGAAGAGAACGACGCGACAGAGGAGGAAGTGACAAGGGAGAGACCGACGAGAGTGGGACGGCCGCGAGGTGGCATGAAGGTTGCAGCGAGAAGCGGCGAGAGACTGCGAAAAGAGATACGAAGAGGCAGACTCCCCAGGGTGGGCGACGGCTAGCGCACCACACTCCTCTCCTTAAAATCCCTGTGTGGTGGCGGCGTGCCGTTCTCCCATCCCTCCCTTGGGTTGTGTGTTTTCTTTCTTTCTTTTCCCCGGTCCTAGGCGTGCGGCTGATAACTGCACTCCAAGTGCTCCAAAGCTCTAACCTAACCTCTAACTATGCACGCGCAGCGCTCTGGCCGCTGAAAAACCAAAACAAAGCAGGGCGCGCGAAAAAATCGTAAACCGAGACCTCAGAGTTTGTTTGACCTCTTTTTTTAGCAATAGCAAACAACTCTAACACTCACACGTCATTTGTTCAGAGTTTGAGAGAGAGAGATTTTAGAAAACCAACAAGAAATCACGACTCTAAGTGATTTGGGCTCGGCAGCTTGTCAGCCCTCAGAGCTCAGTCAGCCGAAGCTGGGGCCGGTCCCGTAGCCGAGAGAGCCCGCGCCGTGAGTTCGACGCGGTCGGGAGGCCTTCCTTGCGGAGAGGCCAGCGAGGTGGCGATCGCTGTACTTCATGGTCGTCATCAAGTGACCGGCTGACAAGCCAGAGGTCGATACTCTGGACGACCCATAGGATGCCACGAATGCCTGAAGGAGAGGGAGGCGAGGCCAGAGGCAGACTCAGCTGCTCTCGGGTGATCTCACTTTGGTGGCTGAAGGACCCGATGGTCCTGTCACATTCGCGTTCCGAGTCGTGGGGGTAGAAGAATTCGAGGTAGAATCGAGTCAGCACTTCCTTGTAGTACAGCGGACCGCCAGGCTCGCCGGCAGCATCCGCAGGGAGGCAGCATATGAGGCACCAGTCTTCTGGAGAGCTCAACAGCTGCGGCCGCGATGGCGGAGTCGGCCGCGAGCAGCTTTTGGCTGCGGGATCGAATCGCGGAAGGCTTGGGCGGACGCGATGCGCGCCCCGGCCAACGCCGGTCACACACGGTGACAAGGAGAAACCAGAGCTCACCCGGCAGTACACGAGGGGTACAAGGTCGACCGTCTGCACTGGAAGGTTCCGAGCCCCTGCGTCTGCAGCCGCCTGCTTTCACTTGAACAACCTGGGCGTCGCCGGCTGTCCTTCTGCTTCCCCAGCCCTGCCGCCGCTCCGTATGCTTCTTTTAGTCGGCAGCGCTCACGGCTGGATCTCACAGTCGCAGTCCATTTACGGCGCGCAGATCAGCGAGATTCAGGA